GATGGCATTAAAAAAACGCCACAAACTTTTTCCCACACCTAATATTTCCTCATCATCAAATCGCATTGATATATAAATAATCTCTTGATGCAATGTTTTGAAGCTTTATATATAATATTTAATGCACGTTCAAGATTCTTCGCACGTTCAAAGTTCTTCGTATACATACGCACTTGTATGTGCTCTGTGCATACATGCAAATATTCATATATTTGCATGAGTTAAAATAATAATTGAATATCTACTATATGTTATCATATTTAAGGAGTTTAATGATTAATACATATAGGTGGACCCGAAAGATTTTTCGAGCTGGCTACAAAAAAGATTTGGAGGAGACCGATCTTTATGCTACTCTTACACAAGACAGAACTAACAACTTAGGTGAAATTATAGATAAAGCTTGGGAAAGAGAAGTGGAATCATGTGCTAAAAAGAAAAATGACAGTAAACCACAATTACTTAGAGTGCTATTGCGCTGTTTTGGAAAACCGCTTCTTCTAATCGGAATTGCAGAAGCAGTTATGGAGCTGTTTTCTAGGTATGTAAATAAAGATAAACAAATTGTGTATCAATATGATGTATTTGAAATCAAACTTTGGCTTTACTTACTTGTTCTGAAATAGAAGCTACGTCACTAAATAAATATTGTAAATAAGTTGATATATATATATATATATAAATAATTATAATATTTTCTTTATTATAGTAACAAATAGATAATGTGTATAAGTGGAAGATTATTTTATCTAATTAGAAAATCCAACTGCAAATATAAAAAAGGAAATAACTTTTTTATATACATATATTAAAGAGTTTATCATAATCACTTATCATATTATTAGTAAAAATAAACTTTACTTTTTTATACGATTCAGTGTGAATTTAAGAAAAACTGATCAGCCAAAAGTTATAAGTTAATAAGTTATTAATATGATTTATAACATAATTTTCATACATGCTACTGCTTCTAATAATGTTTAATTATATTACAGAATGTATCAACCGTTATTACTTGCTACTTTGTTACGTTACTTCGCGATCGACAAAAAAGAATGGAGCGACGAAGTATATTACTGCGCAGGCGGTATAATTCTTTTATCCATCATGGATGCTTTTATTACACATTATTGCGTACATTGTTCCTTTCACATAGGACTGAAAATTAAAGTGGCTTGTACCACATTGATTTATCAAAAAATATTAAAGCTCTCCAATTCTGTGTTAGACAGTGAAACATCTGTTGGACAGGTAAGATACAAGCTAAATATTTATTTCCTCAAAGTATGTCTGATGAAATGTGACGTAGAGGAAGCACTAGATAAAGAATACAGAAATTAGAAGAATAGAGATATTGTAGAATTTAAAGAAATTTTTTGTATTAAAATAATTTTGAAACTATACATGTGTGCGCGCGCGCACATGTATAGTTGTGTGTGTGTGTGTGTGTGTGTGTGTGTGTGTGTGTGTGTGTGTGTGTGTGTGTGTGTGTGTGCGCGTGTGTGTATGCACCACGTATTACTAATATTTATACCGTACTATGTAAAATCATATCAAAAGAACAATTCAATAAATGTTTGCTAACAGATTAATCCAAGTTTATACATTTTTAGATGGTAAATTTTTTGAGTAGCGATATTACTAGATTGGAAGCGTCCCTGGTAGATTTGCATTACATTTGGATTGCTCCTCTTCAAATTGTATGGATCACATACATTACATTTTTCGAAATTGGATGGGCAGCATTAATCGGAATAACAGTGTTTTTACTATTCATGCCTTCTCAAGGTATTGGCAGCTTTCATCAATAAATGATTGTAAAAATCATACGATTAATACATCTCTGTAACAATATTATTAGGTGTACAACTTTGCTTCCGCCGTTTTCCTATAGATGGCTTTAGCGGTAAGTGGTGGTCGAAATAAATAGATCATAGACGTCATACAATAACTTGAGCATCTGTCAACATAACTCCATAGAAACATTAGTCGATTTGTGTCTGCATAAAGTTATTCTCGATTGAAAATGTCAGTTTACGAGCCAAATTCTCGTCATTTGCGGGAGATTTTAATTTTTTGCTTCAATATGAAGAAATCTGCGGCTGAGGCTCATCGAATGCTCTCAAATACTTATGGTGAGGCCGCTATTAGTGAAAGAACGTGTCGTGAGTGGTTTGAACGCTTCAAGAACGGTGATTTTGACATCGAAGACCGGCAAAACGGTGGAAGAGAGAAGGTTTTTGAAGATGCAGAATTGGAGGCATTACTTGAGCAAGACTCGTGTCAAAATCAAGAAGAATTGTCACGATCATTGGGAGTGACTCAACAAGCCATTTTAAAACGCCATGGGAATGATTCAGAAGCAAGGAAATTGGGTGCCGTACGAATTGAAGCCGAGAGATGTTGAGCGGCGTTTGTTTGCTTGTGAACAGCTGCTTGAAAGGCAAAGACGAAAGGGATTTCTGCATCGCATTGTGACTGGGGACGAAAAATGGGTTCATTACGATAATTCCAAGCGCAGAAAATCATGGGGAGTTCCCGGCCATGCTTCCACGTCGACGGCCAAACCGAATATTCACGGCTCCAAGGTCATGCTCTGTATTTGGTGGGACCAGCTCGGCGTAGTGTATTATGAACTGTTGTGTATTATGAAAACCGACTGAAACAATCACACAGGCGATCAGTATCAAACGCAATTGATGCGTTTGAACCGAGCATTGAAAGACAAACGGCCGCAATACAACGAGAGACACGATAAAGTGATTTTGCAGCATGACAATGCTCGACCCCATGTTGCGAAAGTGGTCAAGACATACTTGGAAACGTTGAAATGGGAAGTCCTACCCCATCCGCCGTATTCTCCAGACGTTGCTCCCTCTAACTATCACTTGTTTCGATCAATGGCACGGCCTGGTTGACCAGCACTTTCGGTCTTATGAAGAAGTAAAAAATTGGATCGATTCGGGGATAGCCTCAAAAGATGACTAGTTTTTTCGACGCGGGATTCGTACGCTACCCGAAAGATGGGAGAAAGTAGTGGCCAGCGATGGACAATACTTTGAATCATAAATGTATAACCAGTTTTTTACAATAAAGCCTCGAATTTCGGAAAAAAAACGGCGGAAGCAAAATTATACACCTAATACGTACGATAAGATTGTCACAATATTTCAAAATGACTATTTCAGCGTTCTTGGCAAAGATAATTGCACCTTTAACGCTCAAATCAGCAGAAAAAACAGACAATAGACTTAGATTGATGAATCAGGTAATTACTGGATTGCAAGTAATTAAAATGTATGTTTGGGAGATTCCTTTTTCTAATCTCGTGGAAAAGGCGAGGAAGTAAGTATAACTAAATCATATATCTGTCTCTCATATTATTTTTTTTCATTTAATATTATTAATATCTGAAATAAATTGATTTAATAAAAGAATATATAATATATTATTTGTAACATCCAAAATGACCGATCTTGACTTTCTTTGTCATATTTGATTCATATAAAGTCTTGCTTAAAATTCTTAATATATTTAATATCATTATTTTTACACATTATTTTTCCTTATAATTAATATGAGGATTTATTTTGTATATGTCCTTATTTTTATTAATACCAAATTGTTCAGATTTAATTATTTCCAGGCGAGAAATGAGTGTAATAAAGAAATACTCCATCTTGAGACAACTAGCTCTTACTCTTGACTGCTGTGTACCGCGACTTAGTATCTTCGTTGCGGTATTGTCATACGTCCTATTCGGGAATTACATCAATGCCGAAAAAGTATATTTAGTAACAGCATATTACAACGTTTTACGGAATTCGCTGATTTTCGGATTTTCAATGGGTAAGATAATTATCAATGCAAATTTCAAGACATTTTTATAAACGACATGAAGAAATAATCTTTAGAAAAAATTATAATTTATAATAGCTTTACCTATAATTAAAGATAAGATATAAAAAATAAAACCTTATATTAAAAATGCGATATATATAGATTAAATCATTTATTTCCTATATATATTTCAATTTTAACAATCTTTTAAAAATAATACAAAAAAAGTTTGCAAAATTTAGTACTTGTTGAAGATTACTATTACACTGAGTTCTATCTTTAACGAGAAAGATAATTAATAAAATAAGATACATTTGATAATAAACTTAATAATAAACTTATTTCATAGGTCTCCATCAATTAGTACAGGCATTAGTTTGTATTCGCCGTCTACGAAGCTTTATGTTACACGATGAGATCACCAAAACGAGACAAAACCTTATATATCAGACAGTCACTGATTCATATGCCCTTTCTATGACTAATGTAAATGCCAAGTGGCACGGTGACGGTAAGGAAGATACATTGCGTAACGTAAGCTTAACCGTGCCACCTGGAAGCTTCATCGCTATTGTCGGTCAGGTAGGTTCGGGTAAGAGCAGTCTCTTACAAGCGATACTTCAGGAATTACCTCTAACAAGTGGAAGCATCGAATGCCATGGCAGAATAAACTACGTCAGTCAACAGCCATGGATCTTCGCGTCCTCTGTGAAGCAGAACGTTCTATTCGGACAGACGATGGATAAGTCGCGTTATGATGAAGTGATCAGAGTCTGCCAGATGGAATCAGACATAAACTCGTTTCCCCATGGCGATCGCACCATCGTGGGCGAAAGGGGAATGAATTTAAGTGGTGGCCAACGTGCCAGAATCAATCTGGCAAGAGCGATCTATAAAGACGCTGATATCTACTTGCTGGATGATCCCCTCTCCGCTGTGGATTCGCACGTCAGCAGATGTCTTGTAGACAAGTGTATCTTCGGCTATCTAAAAGTAAGACTCGCAAAGTATTCATATTCCTACATAACACAGTTCTCATTAGAATGTCCTAAGGATATCCTGTAGACATCTTAGGACATCTCTTGGATAGCTTCTTGTGATTTTAAATTTTAATTATTTTATTTAACAATTACCTATCAGGAAAAAACGAGAATTTTGGTGACGCATCAGTTGCAGTATTTGCAACTCGCTGATCAGATTATTGTGATGAATAATGGTAGTATCGAGCAAAAAGGTACATTCGACCAACTACAAGCATTGGGCCATGATTTTATGAAATTGGTGAAGGCAGCAGACACGAAGGATAAAGAGATTGAGCGTAGACAGTCCGAAATGCAGCGTCAAATTTCGCTAAAAATTGAAACGAAGGATCATGGGAACATCTTGCCGATTGATACAAAGGAAACGCTGGCAAAGGGTCACATATCTCGCAAAACATTATTCGCTTACTTTAAGGCGAGTAAGAGTCCTATTATGATCACATTGATGATGTTGATCTTCTTAGCAAATCAAGTAGTATCTGGCGGTAGCGATTATTTCGTTGCATTCTGGGTAAACGTCGAATCTAGCTCGTGGCATGAAATGGGTAACTCCACCTGGGACTTTCAGTGGGAAGGTCCACTGTCCCGCGATTTCATGCTCTACATATACACCGCTATGATAGCGGCCATTATATTATTGTGGCAATTCCAAACAATCGTGTATTTCAATGTATGCATGTGGTCCTCAATAAATCTTCACTCCGCCATGTTTCGCAGTATATTGCGTGCAACTATGTATTTCTACAGTACTAATCCAGCTGGCCGTATATTAAATAGGTAAGTGTAGAAGAGCAATTAATTAGACGTACGTCTAATTTTTCTTCCTCTCTCTAATAGTACATTCTCTAATATTTAAAATTTTTATTTAACTATAATCATTATAGTTTTTTATTTATTGTCATTTATTTTTAACAACTTTTTGATAAAGTGAGCCTAATTTAATCTAAAAAAAGAGAAACGTCTTTTATCTTAGATTTGCCAGGGATATCAATATTGTCGACTTATTGCTATCAATGTGCGTATTCGACATCATAGTAATCGGACTCATCACGATCACAGTAATACTTATGGTCATAGCGGTTACCCCGTGGCTAGCGATACCCACTGTGATGTGCGTTTGCATTTTCATCTATCTCCGAATGATATATATCAGTACTAGTCGCAGTATCAAGCGCCTCGAAGGGACAAGTAAATAATCCATGCAATATTTATAAATAGCAATATTTGTAATTAGCGAAAAGTTACTTCCGATCTCTCTTTTTGATCATTCTTTTAAATCATTTGCATACTGAATTAATTAATTTATTTATTAAAGTTGTATTTATTAAAGTTTTCTTCAAATTGGATTTTGAATTTTGGATTTTTATCCATATAGTACAGAAGCTTACAGCAATATGCTGCAACACTGAAATATTGTTGGATTAATCTGTGCTGTATGAATTAACGAAAATTTAAAATAAATAATATAAATTTAAAATAAATAAATAATAATAAAAAACAACTTGCTTAGCACGATCGCCGATTTTTGACCTCCTCGGGGCGTCTCTGCAAGGTCTGACGACAATTAGAGCTTCCAACGCCGAAGAGATACTGATGTCTGACCTGTGCGTTCATCAGGATGTCCATACGTCCGCTTGCTTCCTCTTCCTGTCCACTTCTCGAGCATTCGGCTTCTACATCGATGTGATTTGCCAGCTTTACATCGGGGCAATAATTATAGCTTTCACGGTTGTTGACGGATTGGCTGTTGTTAGTAACATCGGTCTGTTAATCACGCAAACTATGGCATTAACAAACATGCTGCAGTGGGGAATTAGACAAACAGCCGAATTGGAGAGTCAGTTGACCTCTATAGAGAGAATACTCGAATATAGCCACTTGGAGGAGGAGCCGATGATTGACAGTAAACCGGATGCCAAACCGCCGGACGATTGGCCTACAAAGGGTCTTGTGAAGTTTAAAAACGTAAACTTAAAATATAATCCTCGAGGCGTTTGCATCCTCAGAGACGTCAGTTTTATCGTTATGCCGAAAGAGAAGATCGGTATCGTTGGCAGAACTGGCGCAGGAAAGTCATCTGTGATCAACGCTCTTTTTCGTCTGGCCTGCGTGGAGGGTGAAATCCTTATAGACGATGTATCCACCGGCGCTATCGCTCTGCACGATTTTCGCTCGAAGATCAGTATTATCCCTCAGGAACCATTCCTGTTCACCGGTAGTCTACGACAGAATCTCGATCCCTTCGATCAGTATTCCGACGCCATACTATGGCAAGCGCTCCAGGATGTCGAATTGAAGGAGACGATTTCTGAAATGGCTGCCGGATTGAACACAAAGGTGTCCGATGAAGGATCGAACTTCAGTGTCGGCCAGAAGCAACTACTGTGCCTCGCGCGCGCTATTGTTAAGAACAATCGGATTATGATATTAGATGAAGCAACTGCCAACATTGATCCTTACACGGATTCCCTTATACAAAAGACAGTTAGGACGAAATTTGTAAACTGTACTGTGTTTACCATTGCTCACAGATTGAATACCATTATGGACAGTGATAGAATATTCGTGATGGATGCTGGACATCTTGTGGTAAGTACAAATCAATAGCTAAATAATTCAAAGGTAACACGATTCCGATAACTTTAATGTTACAATTTATATGTGGTTTAAAGAAATAGATAGCAAGATGTTTCAAATCATAAAATTTTTAGATTTCGGAATTTCTTTCTCGATACAAGAACTTTACAAAACTATTATAAATGTTGATTTTAGGAACTTGGCCATCCGTATATCCTTTTGCAACAAAAAGGATACTTTTATAATATGGTACAGCAAACTGGGGCTGTTATGACCGAAAATCTTATTGATATAGCTATGAAGGTAAGCAATAATTAAAATTAACGATAGAATTATATTATAAAATAATAAAATATCCATAATATTATTTGATTTCACTCTAGAAAGAGAATTAAAGAGAATTATTTAATTATTTGTCAAAGAAAAATTAATGAAGCATTTGAATTAATTTCATAAACTTTGTATTAATAAATTATTGTGACTTTTTTACAGAATTTCTACAAAATGGATAGATCGCCATCCAGATAATCACAATTTTCGTTACGATTATACCAAAAGAATGCAAACAATTGCATTCGACGAGCTTATTAAATTATATAATCTATTAAAGATGTATGTGTTACATCTTAAAACATTGCCAAAAATATAAAAAAATTTTATAGATATAAAACATAAAAATTATATAGATTGTTCTATTATTATGTCTGAATATCTATGTAAAATTTGAGCATAATTCTTTTATTGGTTTAAAAGTTACTTAGTTTTTTATTAGCCTTGATTGTTATATAAAATATTTTATAAAATATTTTGTAGTATTATTATTTGTCAATTTTATGAGAAACATTAAAAATTAAATCAAATTTTAAACAATACTGATAAAAAAATAATAAATATTTTATACAAAAGTTTATTTAAATTCACTTATTCGTTTAAAAGTTACTGATTTAGAACTGCACAGAGGAAAAATATAGTCATTGCTGCGTAAAATCATATTATAAGCAAAATTATTTATTGTTTTTTGCAGTTGATCAGAGCACATTCACGGGTTAACATCAAAAGATTTTGAATAATATAGGCTGATATTAGCTTATTTTGATTATTGTAACTGATATTTTTAGCTGATAACATACAGCCAAAATATATTTAATATATAAAATTATGTGTATTTTACATTAACAAAATAGTTTTCTGTTAATTGTTCTTTTCTCTATTTTCATCTTTCAGTATTCATCTTTTACACTTTTATCATTTTTTCAAATTCGTACCTTTTTCAAGACCTGTAATATATCGAACAAATTTAAAATAAAGCGTAAAAATGAAAGTTTATATACTTATGTAGAGAAACAATCAAAAACATTTTCGTTTTTTTTTTATAAAATAAATGTTTTTAATTTTATGTTTGTTGCTATCCGTCTTTATTATATAAAAATTTTATTATACAATTAATGTAATATACACAGGAATACATTCAGAATTTTTTTTATTTATCTGTGTAAATACAAAGACATAATTTTGTTAATATAAATTCTTTGCAGTCACACAGTCAATTAATATATACGATACGTTTCTATTTCTAATATACATATATAATTATCTAAAAAATCGTATATAATTGTACGATTCGATGCCAACGAGAAACATAATTAGCAACATTGTATAAGTACTCAAAACGATTATTATAATTGTTATATTGTAAAAAGTATTTTTTAATTACCGTTCCTATTTACGAAGATTTTACACCATATTTTGATCGTAACAATAATTAAGATGAATTTGTTACAACATTATGACACAATAGATTTTGATTTATCAAAGGAAGTATAATAAAAAAAATGTGAAGTCTTTCGTATCTGTAATATTTTTAGGGTTTGATAATAAATACGGTAATAGTTGCGTATTATAGAATTCCAAACCAAACCGCATTAGATCAATTTTATGGGTATGACGTGACCGATATGCATTGAAATTCGTTGTAAAAATTCAATTTTTTAATACGATATACATAAGTAACGGTAACATTTGCTGTGAAATAAGTATTATTTGTATTAATCATGATGAACAATTTATTGGACGCTCTCTTTTTTGATTTTTTTTTTATTCTTACTATTCGTCTTCTTTCTCTTTCTCTGTTTCAATTAATTGAAAAATAATTTTAAAAAATCTTTATTTATTTTCACATTCCTAAGCAATTCGTGAAAAATTTTTTACCTTTAATCATTCAAAAAATATTTTATCCCCGAAATTTTATAAAGTAAAATTTTATAAAATTTTATTTCGTTGTAAGATATCCATATCTTTAATGATGTTTAATGAATAAAAGTATAATCTCACGATATATAAGACAGCCTATTCTTCCATCGAGAGATTCTCTTACTTATCCAATTTTATAACAAACGCTTCTCCAGGGGGGACGGTAAGTTTTTTGAAGTACACATTCCGATTTATTCTGTAATTTGGTCCAACAACGACGTAACCACCGTAATAAAGGAATGACAGATCCTTTACGCGCGTCTCGTTGCCAAAATTGGCCACAAACACATAGGAATTTCTTCGTGGATACCACCGCTCAATCACGATCATTTCATCTTCCACATATCTAGACAGAAGAATATTAAATTAAGCTATCACATAACATTTTATATCATTATTATATAACAATACGATCTGTCGACAAAAAATTTTAAATGTAATAATTGTTCTATCTAGCAAGACAAAAATATGTATTTAGCACGCAAAATAAAGAAATAAAATTAATTTCTTGAGTTGTTAAAAAGATGAGTTACGTAATTATTAAAGATATTTAGATTTATAAGGAAGAAAAAAAATTTTAAGGACAATCACAAATCCGAAAATTCGTGTAACCCAAAGGGCTTTACCTAATATCACAATTCGCAGTACTTTGATTTTCTCTTAACACCGCTTTGACGTAAACCGGCGTAGCTTCCATTCTTAGCTTCGCCATCTCTGTAACAGTGCTTTTTAAACTGGTTTCCATAGGTTTCCTAGCTTCTGGTAGCCAAGCGGTAACTCCTGAAGGCGAAAAACTGCTTTCTGAGCCTTCCTTCTTCTCCCAATACATAGGAATCAAATTGTGCACGTGTGCCAAATCCTTATGATCTCGACACTCACAATCTTCGATACCTATCTGAGCAAATGAAAATTCGATTAATAATAACTCTTGTGTATTAAATATTTTTTGAATTATTTTAAAAAGAGATATTTATTAAAATATTGAAATGTGCTGTTAATATCTTGCATTGCAATGAAAAAAATGATGATGACTCAAGAAATAAAAAAAATAAATAATAATTGCGTATTTTTTAAACATACGAATTACGCCAATATCCAATAACCAAACTCTTTACAGAAAGTCAATTATTGTTTTCACATTCAATTAGAAAAATTCAGTAAATTGGTCTTATGCATTAAATTTGTATTTTGCTGGAAGAAATCGAACAGAACTTGTCAAACGCAGAGTCTGCTCAATTTCTGCATCAAATTATGTGCATATTTATTAGGTTTTTATTGTCAATCTGTTTCAAGTCATGTAAATAATTTGTTAATCATTTTTGTAGCATTCTGTCACCAGCATCTTAATTAATAGATTCTACGTCAAAGTAATCTTCCTGCTGACAATATTTATCAGCAGATGTTGTATAAAGTTTGAGCAAATTTGGTTGACTAGACATTCTCCAGATTCGTGGATCTCATTCATGATATAATTCATACCTCATCACCATAAAATATACTTGGCGTCCCAGGAAGCATCATGCCAAGAAGAGAAGCTGCCACACTAGCATTCTTGACGGTCATAGTAGAGGCCACTCTGCTGGTGTCCACACTACCTACGGACCAGTGGATCCACGGGTAAGAGGGTTTGTCAAAGAGCACACCCTTCGTGATACTCTCGATCTGTGCTTTAATATTTTTCGTGCCGTTCACCAAACGAAGAGTCACATCAATCAGATCTATCTTGGACAAAATAGAGTTCCTCGCGACAGAGGTAGCGGCGTCCAAGGCGTTTATGTGACAGATGAAGATATTGCCCGGATGCAGAAGAGATCTCCAGTATCTAAGATCACTCACAAACGTGTCTTCGCCGACGTAATGTTCCAGTCCCTTGAGATAGAAACCGTCTACTCCTCGCTGCTGCCAGATTTTGATAGCCTCGCTAACAGGGTGTTCCTGCTGACGAGCTAAGTGACTGGAAGGAAACGTTTCTCTCTTTACTTCCTGCAGCGGTGTCGACAAGGTGTCGCGGATGGCATCAATCGTGGACGGTGCGGACGGCAATATGTCATGAATTATTGCGCTATTCGCGAGATCTCGTCTTTCCCGAAGCGTACGTTCAGTCTCGTTCGCCTTCGCTTCATTCAAGCTCTTCATAAATGGATATAAAGGCAAATCGAGGATGATACTCATATTTCGCCTGTGGATCTCGCGGACGAGAACGGAGAAGTCTCCCAATGTACCCAACTCTTTGTTCACGTCCGTCATATTGCTAATGTCCGAATAATATTCCGGGTAATGCGGCGCCGGAAATATCGAGTTGAGTCGTATAGTCCGTATTCCGAAATTCTTTAAGTAATTTAGCCGCATAATTATCCCTCGCAAATCGCCGATCCCATCGGCGCTCTTCGTCGAGTCCTGAAAGGACGCCGGGAATATTTCGTAGAAGGTACTGCCTTGCCACCATTCCACCGGTGGGTCGCATCTAACATGCAAATAATTCATGTGAAATTATACGTAATGAAGAATTTTGTATTTGTGTTAAAAATGTCCACTTATATCTTTCTTAAAATTTTGTGTTGAATTTTTTAACATATCCGCGTGTTAATTTACGCGCGTATTAACCCGCATATTAACATATTGTGATTATTGTTATTTATTTTGTTATATATTTTGTATTAAATTAATATTTCTTGAATATTTCTTAGTGTCAAAACAACATAATTTATATGAGAAAGTAAATAAATAACATAAATTTTTCAATTATACACGTCTTAAGATCAATTATATAATTTAAAGATCATCTACTTATTAAAATGCTATTCATTACATACTTTTTGATAAAATGTATTTGTTCGTATTTATATGTGAGTATACTGTATGCAAATTAAATTTAAGTTAAATAAAATATTAGGTATACATTATGCGAGAGTTAAATTTGAATTAGATAAAACATTATTTTACTCATGATTTTTAGGAAAGAAAAATTTAAATTAAGATTTTTATTGTATAAAAAATGATGTAGAAATTACATAAAGTGACAAAATGCAAAATATTCGCAGTTGTCAGAAAAAATTACTTCAACTATCTTTCCCGAAAAAAAAAAATGTTTCATATATAGTTAAACAAAATTATATAAAATTATATATAATATATATAATTGTATATAATTATATATAATTATATATAATTATATAAAATATGTCCATGTATATATAACATTTTTTCCAAAAGGTTGTCTAATTTGTAACCATCTTCTCATGTTGAGATTATCGAAAATTCCCTTAAGTAGGGAATTATAATCGTCCTTTCTGATTTTTATCATTCACGAGTTTATTCGTACAGGTAAACATGCATAGTGTGCGTACATACTTCTTAGGCATTGTAGCGATAATGCCGATAACGAGAGCGGCACATCCGGTCAAGATCGACATCAATGACCAGTAGCATGTCTTCCGTATCAATGGCCAGTTCCACTTCATGAAACGATAATCTTTGGGCGGCTTCGGTACTACCAATTGTATCCCAACGAGTGGTGGTTTGCCGCCGTTCTCCTGGTTGTAAAACTAAACAGTTAAGACATAAATACGTATGATGATTGTTAGAAAGCGACAAGCGATGAATTTTAGTCAACATGAGATCGTTGAAAATTGGAAATCCTCTTGAATTTTATTTCAAATGTGGAACAGCAAAGGCACATACATAAATCGAACATTCATATAAGTACACCTACCTACATTTCTTTTAAATCTCCGATGATACAGTAACGAAATGTCAATCCTAGGGTGACCAGATCCGGGAATCAGGCGTCCCAGTTCTCGAGGATAAGTCCTCTTTCACAAGGAGTTCTCGGCCGTTTTTGCAGGTTTCTTTAGATTCAGCCTAATATTTTATATTCGAAATATATCCGCGATTAAGAAATTAATAAAATATACAAAATGAGAAACTAACTTTATATATTCTAAAAGATTTCTATTAAATGTACACAGTTAAATACTTAATCATATTTATTAATTTATATCAACTAAATTTATTGAATTCATTTCAATAAAAATTAAAGTTAAAAAAATAAAAATTAATTTGAATTAAAAAATTATTATTCATTATCATTCATTTAAACTAAATTAATTTAAATATAAAAAATTTGTAGCTCCATATATAATAAATATATAAGTAATATCTGTCTTTTTTTATCAATTTTATTGAAAAGATAAAGTGAAAGTTAATGTCTAAGTTTTCCCTATGTTGCATGTAGCTCTCTTAATTGTATACGTCATTTTATATGGTCACCCTAGTTGTATCTTATCTGCATTGGGTTTCTATATACACAAGCAGCTGAGATGACAAAACGAGGAGAAAATACGAAGTAACAACTTAGTTGATCTTAGTTAAAAAGATACAGATTGCGAGTGTGTGAATACAATCACGACTTCGTGAATGCAATCACAAGGTAGCATCTTTCGTGCATATGTGATATATTTAATAAAGTATCTTTTCTCTGTGTCAAGCAAATGTAAAAATATATAATGTATGAAGTAGCACAGATGTCCGTTGTTTTTGCAAGTAGCATAAACGGAATTTGTGAATTTTGTGATAAACATACAATACATTAAGCATAATAGGCACATATACACGTACATACAATAATAGGCGGAAGATTAAATAATTTGGAATATACGAAAAAAATTATAAATCATTTTTAATATTCCAAAACTAGATTATTAAACAATAAATATGTAAAAAAATCTCGAAAGTTTTGATGTTTTAATTCCTTATTTTATACAGAGACACAAATAATAATTTTATTTTTAATAATATATTCAAATACTTATAAAAAAGATTTTTTTAAGACATTCAAAATTCTCGAGAATCTTTAACATTTTAAGAAATTTCCAATTTTTAATATTTAAATTAAATATTGTATTATTGAACCGTTCTTTAAATTGATTTTATTTTATATTTGAAAAAGTCTTCAAATTCCGATACTTACTAAAGCTTGAGCATCTGGTGCGAGATGTTGATAGGCAGTATTTAATTGTGTCAATAATTGTGCGCAAACGGGTTCGTTTGTGTCACTGCTACTACCGCTGCTAGTAGACTCCACCATGGGATCACGTGAACTCGGTTCTGAAACATTACGATATGATATACAAGCTTAATCATTTAATATAGTACAACCACTATTAAAATTAAAACTTTCTGAACAATTATTTTTATATTACGAAAAAATGATTAATAAGATTGTGATTCGAACTAATCGTAAATCGATTAAATTGTGTTTGAATAATTCAATATATTTCTGTATTTTTAAAATAAATCTTAAAACAGAAAGATTTAAAATATTTTTTTATGCAACCAAATGGGATATTGTCATCTTTTTAATTTAGGCAATTTTAATATTGAATATAAGAAGATTAAATACCAGTCATGTGATAAAAATGACTGATTGGATCATCGTTTAAATTGAAACTGGATCCTATTATCAAAAGCGCTTTAATGAACGTCGACGTTATATACAGAAACACGATTACGTAAGCTTTTCAGCTCGTCAAAGAACATGATTTAACGAATATTTAATATTCATTTAAAGAAAAGAAATCTTCAATTTACAAATAATAAATAATTTACAAATAATAAATATAACTTGTATCCTCCTTTTCTTTTTTGATTTTATATTTAGTACATAATTGTTATAAAATTCTATTTTATTATTATAAATTAATTGCTAAATTAATCCAATAATGATAAAAAGAAAATACAAAGATAATGTTATTGAAATCACATAGTGCCATTGAAGGTAATGCTTAATTGCGTGCCGTATTGTAATAGATAGAAAATACATACCATCGTTTAAAGGTTTACTCGAACTATTCACAATGTTCATGAAGTTAAGTCCGTCTTCTGTATTAATATTTTCGAGCGTTGGCGTCGGTATCATTTCTAATGGAGTTCCTTCCAGGGCATTGAATATCGGTGTCGATTGTAGAGTCTCGTTGGTTTGAGTAGGTGGTGGACTTGGTGTTAATAGAGGACAATCGGACGCTTCTTCATCCTATTAAAGATAAATGCTTATATGAGACAAAGTTCTCAGAACGAAAGATAAATATTTCGTAGAATAGAAAAATGCCATTTGTTCTCTTTGATTGCGAAATATTATGCTGCATTATTGCATCTTTTTAAAAAAATGCACTATCTTTCAAATTATTAAATTATTATGCGAATTAGATTTTAGTTATGGTAAGAATCATATCAGATTGAATACTGAATTAATAGAACTTTTGTTAAGAAAAGGATTTCTAGATTTATTATTAGAAATGAAAAACATTACAGTTTCTAGTAGTAAAATGAACACACCTGTTGATCTTGATTTATAAACAGCTCTCGGGAATTTGAAGATGGCGGAAGTTCAGATGATATAACAATAGACAAAAGGTCTTCGGGCTTCTGGATACTCATCTCTATTACATAGATATTTTATACAAATGGTATACTTTTATATATATTTTTATAAATGTTTACACATGCTTTATTTTGAAATATCTGCAAGTTCGAACTTAACAAATTGTTAAATACGTATAAAATAATTTTAATAATATTTCAGTATTTTAAGTTAATTGCTGTCGGAAATAAAGTTTAAATTATTTATGATTTTATAAAATAATGGTAGACAAAAATCCTTTTTTTATTCTACACATCAAATTTCATAGGATGAAAGAAATATTTGTTCGTTTTTTTTTTTAAATTGATTTCTAAATTCAATTTATTCTTTATATCTAAATCCGGAGAGATGCACGTATTTGCGCCTACATGTTGGTGTATAGAAAGAATATACAGGAAGGGTGAGTGGGTGTATATCGACGTATTTTTCATTATTGTGCGTCTATCATGCAGGATGTTACCGCTTGAGCATAGTGCTTGTGGTGTATTCGACGATCAATAATCGTAAAAGTCAGTTGTCATTGCATCATCTGTTCATAATATTGTCAGTCTTAAACTAAGAATTTCATTTTCTAAATTTTGTATTTTTGATTAATATCTCTTTTTCGCATAAAGATAATAAGACAGTTTTTACTTAACGATTTTAATCACTTTATTCTGAATAATAATTCTTAATTATTTAATAAATTTTTAATAAAACATTTAATAATAAATGTAATGACTTAATTTAATACCTTCCATGAGACAGTTTTAAAGATTGCAAATGTATCTCAAGAAATATTATTAATCTGAGCACTCACAAAATATCTTAGTCGGAGATTAGTTCCATTCAGCAAAATAATAATAAATGGCATATATATTTACAGCCACGAGATCGGCATTGAAAACCGAGATACAATACACGAGCAAACGACTTTGAGTTAACGGTGAATAATCATAAAATTTACATTACCTTGACTTGGAATATTTCATAATTGCAAATAAATCAATGTATATTTTTTAAGATTTCTTGGACGGTCTTTTTTATGATTTAAGAAATTATTTGTAATTGCAGAGATATTTGTAAATCATGCTAATAATAATATTAATAAAATAAAA